TAATCAAAAGCTCTGAAAAATAGACTTAGGACTAGATTTGATTATGCTGTTATTTATCATAAATTATAAAAGATATATTCTAGTATTTCTCACAGCATTTCTGATAATTTTCATTAGAAACTAACACTTATCAGAGCAGTGCAATGCTGACTCATTTGAGAAAATAAAATAGCTATAAATTATAGCCAGAGTACTCTTGAAAACAGCATAATTTAAGCAAATTATTACATTATCCTTAATAACTGTGCGAATTTTACTTTATTTAGAAAATAATAAAATTGTTAACGTTAGTTATCCATTACCAAAGAGCAAAAGAGACCCAAAGAACAGTGCACTCAGAACATGAAACTTGAACAAGCATCTCTTATGCTCTTTTTCTATTGGGTTCACATGGTAAAATTGGCTTCCTGATGGGCCAACCTACTGTCGTGAATATTAGTCATAGGTTTTTATTAATCACAATCTTGGCAGTGTGCACTCCAAACTATAAATTCAGTTATAAGACTAAGACTTTGAACATGACCTTGAGTTAAAAAAATAAATAAATAAATCAGGGAAGAAACAAGGGAATTGGTTGTCTAATTAACAGCTTTGGAGGCTTTTATCTTCTGTAACAATACTCCTCCGATACCCCAGCATTAACTTGGCAAATTAGTGGAGGAGAATGGCAAATGCTTCTTTCTGGTTTTGCTCCATATAATTTTCAACTGCTAAAGTCTTCTAAAAGTAACTACCCAAGCATAGCTTGTGGGGGGGAAAAAAAGTGAAAAGCTAAATAAAAAACACATTATGCAGCAGAACTCATTTGAATGATTTATTTTAAAACATTACCGAAGAAAAGAAAGAAAAATTCTTTAGTACGCAGAATCTATCTCTGAAATCCTTTAGGGGGATAGACATTTATTTTGCTCACATAATCCGGGCAATAAAATTATGGCATAATCATAGAAACATTTTGTAAAATAATGCCCGGGATGTGAGCAATGCAAATCACTAGGCAATTTCCAGATATCCATATTATTTGCATTTTTAGAACAGGCTACCTCTAGATATCTATTTGGCAGAGGTGCTAGAATGTTTGCATCAAGAAAATAACGATACCAAGAGTTATATAGTGATTATCCTGCCTCTCTTTTTATCTCATTAATACTGAGAAATATCCGTTTCCACCCATCATTCTTCTCTCCATTTTCGGTGATGACTGTCAGCAGAAGCCACTACGGGGAAAGACTCAGTCACATCCTTCACTGTTTGTTCTAACCATGATGACTAGGAAGTAACAGTGCCATTTACAGAAATAAAAATTGCAGGAGTCCTAATTTAAGAAATATTATAATAAGTGAAGGTTTGAAATGCTGTCTCTGAAGTGGCAGTAAATCATACAAAATTCAAGTTTTTTTAAATTAAAATAATCCCTCTCTTAGACAAAAATTTTACAAAGAGGCAGAGAGTAGGAAGAACTCGAGGTAAAAACTAGGAAAGTTCAGTTGTCATAATCTTTGGGGTAGATGGATTTTCTAAAGCTTAGAGGGATGTATTAGTTTCTTGCTGCTGATATAACAAATTACCACAAACAGTCACTTTAAAAACATTATTGTATAGTTCTTGAGAGCAGAAATCTGACTGGGCAGGCATCTGGAAGCATGGACTTCTAAGCTGTGTTCCTTTTGGAGGCAGGGAGATCTCCAGGGCAGGATTCCTTGCCTGTTGGTGCTTCTGGAGGCTGCCTGCACTGCTTGGCTTGGGCCTTTCCAAGTAGCAAATATATCACTCTGACCTCTGAGGTTCAGTGGTCAGCTGTGTCTCTTTCTCTCACATTGACTTACCTTCCAGAGTCAGAGAAAGTGGATCCTTAAGTGGGAGCTTATATTGTGCCCATTTGGATAACCCAGAATAAACTCTCCATATTAAGACCCTTAATATAAGCATATTTTCAAAGTCACTTTTGTGGTGTAAGGAACATATTTATAGGTTCTTGATATCAGAGTGTGGATATGTTTCAGGGTCATAACACTATCAATCATAGACTGTAATGGAATGCCATAAGAGAAAAAAGATGACCGAATAGAGCTATCTGGGTCACCCTTTTTGACCATGAATATTTGTGAGACTTAAGTCTAAATATACTTTATTCTATGTGCTTTAGCAATATTTTAAGGTAAACTTTATATTACCAAAATGCATAGATTGTTTACAAAATACATAATCTGATGCGTTTTGATAAATGCATACACATGATTAAAACATACCACACCAATCAAGACAAAGAATATTTCAATCACTCTAGAAGCAAATGCCCACAGACTTCATATTTCCTATATGTCCTCTCATTCTAGAACCTTCTAAAAGGACATATAATGGTTATACCACTATAGACTGTACATATACTTTATCTGTTTCCTCACTTCTAGAGACTGCAGGCATTGCTTGATCCCTAGCCTGCTACCTCCATTTTTGAGTTAACAAATGTACCTTTGTGATCTCTGATACTACAGTCACATAATTTTCTTCTCTCACTTTAATTTTTAAATATATTTACCAAATCATAAGCCTTGTTCCTATACCTTTCTACCACTGCCTTCAGAAGATCTCAAAGAATAGGGACCCTAGGCTCTGAATGCCAGATTTAGACCCCTAGCCTAATTTTAATAAATTACTTAAAATTATATATAACTATAATGCATTAATTCAAGCATTAAAATTATTTTTCCTGTAGGGAACCATTGATAATCTACTTCTTAGGGAAATATTTTAGCATATACTCAGCTCTCTGAAATAGAATCACTATATATTATTCTCTTCATGTGAGTCCCTCTCATCTATTATGTGTGTGTGTGTGTGTGTGTGCTTTCGCGCGCGCACGCGCGTGTGGTGCTGGGGATTGAACCCAGGCCTTGTGCCTGTGAGGCGAGCACTCTACCCCCAGCCCTCATCTACTTTTATCTACCAGGAGTGCTGGTGGTATTAACCACAAGATCTTGTTTTTAGGAAAATGTTTCTAGAAAGATCTTGGTGTCTGGGAAAGCTATTCTTTTTTTTGTTAGTTTCCCCCTAACTCGAACACATTAGCTACAAAATCATCTCAGATATATAATGGTTAATAAAATGGAGAAGTGAGAATGGCATCAAGTTAAAATTATGCTTTGAGCTTCAGCAGAGTTCATAAATCCTTGGCAAAAACCGGACAAATAGCAGCATTTCTCCTGGAATCTTCGTGGAGGGCAATAGGAGGAAATAGTTCCTGTTTTTGCATGGTTTTCAGAGAATGACCGTAGAACACAAGTTCCATGATCCTGTGGACCAGTGATAATGGCCATAGTGAGCAAAACCTATACCACGGGTCCTTGAGAGAATGAGCGAAAAATGCCCCCAGATAAGCCTAGAGAATGGACCTCGGTGAAGGGTGGTCGCTACTAGGCTAATGAAGAAGGCGGCCAGGGCCAAAGTTCTATGTGCACCCACTAAAGAGGTGAAATTGGTGCAAATGAATGAAGGTTGAAGGAAGAGAGTTGCCCACCCCCATGTGCCCATATCCATGTAGATAAGATTAGCCTCAGATGGAAATGCTGGGTGGTTTATTTTCAGCAGCTCACTGTTGACAGAGGGATCCATCTGCTGCGCCAATCACTTATTAGCAGTGCTTATGGCTTCAGATTCAAAGATAGCGGAGAGTTAATGTCACCGAGTTTTGATCAAATCCATGCAACACACTTTGGGACACTTTCAATTTTATACTTTTGCATGTTTTTATGGTTCTGGGGATTAAACACAAGGCCCTACACATGCTAGGCAAATTCTCTACCACTGAGCTACATTCGCAGCCTCACATTTGGGGACACATTTTAATGTGCATAAGAAATCATTTTTTAAAAAAACCCCAGGAAAGCAGGGGTTTTTAATCTGTGTACAAACCATTAATCTGTTTTGACAGTTACCCTTTTTAAACCCATATGCATAATAAATATAATTTAATTTTTCAAGAAAAATCATTTGAGATGCTGGTAAAAAGAAGGCAACCTTAAGTCCATGGACTTTGGAACCATCTGGTCTAGGGTTTAAATTTCCACTGGCTCCAGAGTTAGCTAGATGAACAGGTTATGCTTTTAACTTTTATACCTTTAGTTCTCATTCTGTATAAAATGAAGATGACGCTTATCTCGCTGGGTTTTGTTTTCAAAGATTAAGTGTGGCCATGGATTTAAAAATGTGCTGTATGTCTATCACTGTACTAGAAGTACTAGCGTATTTTTCCTCTTCCTGCCTGCTGCTGTTCTCAGTTATCCTTTGGTGGAAGATGACAGGAACAGGTGTTGGATTTCTGCACTGAACTCTAGAAAAGCAAAAAGCAATGAGGCCCAAGAAGACGGTATGTTCTTAAGTCATTTCTCCTGAATAATGTGAAAGACAAGCAGCTGGTTATATTGGGCTGGGGAGAGTCAAGTGTCCCACATGGAGATCATTCTCTCCTCTTGCCCATCAGGCGCCTCCTGGTGATCCAAGTCTGGCCAAAGAACATATGGGTCAGTAAACTCTCCATTCTCTAAGGATTACTAAAACTGTCACTCCCAAGAGATCGTATTCCCACCTAGGTACAAATGAAAATCCTGATGGGAATATCAATTCCCTGGTTGTTTCAATGTATCCTGATGATCAGTGATGTGACTGCTTCATATGGAAATAATCAAGGGACTTTTCTTCTTTGTTTTTTTTAATGATTTTTAATCAAATTAAACATGTCCATTTAGACACATGTATGTGTGGATATTATATGTTAATAACCACAATTTAAAAACCATAAAAGAGTGGTACCTAAAAATAATTTAGTAAGCCTGAAATTGCTACAAATACCATTGAAGTACTTGAGTTGATTGTTTTAAAAATACCCCTACTGGTAAATAGATAACTTTTTAAAAGTTTGTAAGAATAAAATTTCTGCATTCAAATTTTGGTTGTTGATTCTTCTCCTTATTTTTAATGGAATAAAGAAAGTGTTATTGTCATAATTTGATGAGCGTGTTTATTGCAGACTTTTTATCATGTTGGCATTGTGATGTAGTAGAATTTCAGTGTTTAATTCTTACATGTGCTCAACAACATTCCTCAGCGTCCTTTGGGTAGTACCAGCATATGCTGTAAATGAACAAGGAAGGAAAAAAGTAAAGCTATTAGTGTTTGGACTTGCTGCTTATTTAAATCTTTCACACATCAGTGGAAGAATAGATTTCTCAGTACAGGAAAGTACAAGACCACTTGCAAGTTATGGATTTATGATTAAATTAAAACTTCAAAATTAAGTAAAAACTGGTATAATTAAAGGTCTTTGCAAATGTGTAATCTTCATGCGTTAAGTAAAACTTTAATGTTTTTTTTTTTTCTGTTGATCTTTGTAATGACCTTATGCTAGAACATTACAAGGCATTGAGTTTTGAAATGGCAGTAAAGGCACAAGTACCTCAAAAATCCACTCCATTGATTTCCATTCATCCAGATGCGTGAACTTTCACACTGGTTCGTGTTCTTCTTGCCAATGGAGTATAATCACCCTGAAGTCCAGCTTTCCAGATTCTGCTTCAGCCCACTTTCTACCCATTACATTTCTGTGACTATCTCAGGAATATTCTTGAACAAACAATCTGAGAACAAGAAATCGATTAAGTAATTTATTTATGCTAAAATTGTAATCGTTTACTAAAATGTTGATGATAATCTATAAATATGAATAAGTATAATCATAGTACAATAGTGAAACATTCATGAAACAAGATAAAAAAATGGCATGTTTTTTTAATATAATTACTTTACATTTAAATGTTTAAAGCTATGAAGATAACAGGTCAAATTTAAATGTATAAAGAGTATTAAGGGGAGATGTAGCTTAATTCATAGATTTATACTAATGTTTTGGTAAAGCTAACACCACCAGTCTTAGGCAGAACTGAAGTCAGAATGGAAACCTGGGTCTATCTTGTAATAACTCTGACATAATCAATTAATCTCTTTGGCTTTATTCACCTTTATATCCTGATGACTTCATTATTTTCTATCCTAGCCATTTCTGCTAAGCAGCAAGACTCTTATTGAATGAATTCCTTTATTATCTCTTCTAGAGGTTTCTACAATCACCTCTACATCAAAATATCTATTCAACTTATCATTAATCCCCAAGTCCTCAGGCCAACCCTGATGTCTACTGCTTAATTAGTGGCATTAAGACTCCTCAACTAATCTTAGCCTCTTGGAGATGTCGTGGACATCCATGCCTCATAGTCCACTCTCAGGATAAATTCTACCCTGTAGGTTTCCAGCACTTCACCTTTACTGGTCAGACCAATATCAGCAGCACCCAATGAGCACAATATATAGTCTTAAACCAAATAGCTCCCACTGAGGCATCTACTGCTTTCTCACCTTGAACCAAAATATGAATTCAATAACTATTTATAGTATAAACAGAATATTTGTTAAAATGATTTACAATTTCAAATGGTGGATGAGAGGACAGAGGTAGTGTAGTATGTGATATTCATGAGGGAGGAAGAGAGAAGGTAGAATTAAAAATTCACAGGAAGAATGGAAGAGTAGCCAACAGAGATTGGATGTTTGTTAGAGAAAAGTTGGAAAGAAAATCAAGAAAGTAGATAAGAGAGGAAGAATACAAACAAGGAGAAAAAAATTAAAGACATAAGAGTCTAACAAAAATGCAAAACACCATTCATATATTATTGTCCTCCACAAACTGATGCATAAAAAACATCCCGTTACAAATATGGTAGTGGATAGATTAGTGAATCAAAAAATAAGTCTTGCTGGAAAGTCAAAGTGTCTCCGTTAGTGTTCAACAGTTTCTCAGCCCTGTGTCTGACATCTCTTGGGATCACCAAATCCATATCAGCCCTTGCAAACCCAGTCTCTATCCCACCCATCTGGGCTTCAGATTCCTCAGGCTTAGTCACATATTTCTCCCCATAATTCAGTGATCCAAGTGCTATTAATGTTTCTAAGTTGCACTTATGGAATCCGAGGCTCACAGAAGTTAAGTAACTTGGGAACAAAGTCACAGATCTAGTAATTGACAGCCAGCATGTGAACCTCCTGAGTGTGATCAGGGGATCTGTGTCCTTAACAGCTATGCTTTAAGAATGTACGCTTCAATCAAACTGCTCCTGTTTTAAATCTCCTACTCTGATCTCTCTGTGCTCCCTGCCTGACCTATGTTATTCCCTGGAATGTTCATTCAGAGAAGAAACTTGCATGAAATTTATTGATGTGAGTTTTGATAGCAATATGAAAAGAGAGAGAGAGCAAAAAGAATAGGGAAATGGGGTAATTGAGCTGTGGTGCATTTTCAAGAAAAAGCCTGAGCTGATCCTACTAAGAGATCTGCAGCTGGGATATCCCTCCATTGCATTCCCACCTTGAGTCTGGGACTGAACCTTTTGATCACATCACGGACCAGGCTCTGGATGTGGGCTGCCCCCAGAAAAGATTATTTTAGGCAAGGCAGTACTCTCCAGACAACTGCAATACTCAGAGAGGGTCTCAGCTGAAAGTCATCAGCTTGGAAGTCAAGTTCAATAAATGTGTGCTCTCTACATCTTTCCTGGGTGCTGAACAAATAGAAAAGCATAGTAGTTGTACAGAGTACTGGGAAATGGAAATGGTTGATGGTAGTCAGGAGACCAGGCCGTGACTTCTAACTACTCTGTCTTATCTGGCCTTGCAAGAATCAGAGCAAAATCAAAGCAGTGCCATACCATTGTCCTTTGCTCACATGTGAGCATGTCAGGGCACAACTATGGGGGGTGCTGTGCCCTAAAGGACCTTGCATGCCACCATACTGAATGAGGCACCTTCTTCTGATCTACAGTTTTCTTCTGCAGCTGAGATGCCTGCTCTTAGCTACAGTGGTTATAGGACAATCCCTCCCCGCTAGGCTTCATCCCTTATTTGCTGATGGGTGCAGTTAGCCAGGGACAGTGGACGGAACGATGTCAACAGAAGTATGACCTCCCGGATCCAGATTTCCATTGTAAGAATTTGGGAGAAATCAATCAGAATTGGCATTGCCTCGCAACTCCACAGATTTCTCCTTCCAGGGTTGACCTGGTGATACAAGATATTTCCATCATGTGGCCCTGACATCTTCAACCTGAGGCTCCCAGTTGTCCTGAGAACAGTCTTCAATCCACAGAGTCATCTTCAGAAATGTAGTTGTCTTTGTGGATCAAAGAGGTCATTCTTGTGGCTGAATTTTGTCCCATTTATTTATTTAAACAAAACTGCACTCTCCTAGTTTCTGTCTGATAGTTCCAGGCCCAGAGCCTCTTTGAGCATCACCAGGGACTCTGCAATGGGTGACTTTGTCTGCAGCATTTTTACCCAGCAGCGGAATGAGAGAAACCCCCGTGGAGCTGGGTCTGGAAGCCTGCTGTGCAGCAGAGTTCAGCTCTCAAGTTTTCCCTTTAAATGTGGAGTATCAACACTTAAATGAAGACTGCTAGTGAGGCATGAAGGCAGCCAAGTTTGCAAATCATTTATTTGTTTGAAAGGAAAATTGCCGTTTAGAAGTTTACACCCTGTTTTATTTGAAATAAAATTTCAAATAAAAATAAAAAAGGGATTGAACTCAAGGGCACACAGCCACTGAGCCACATCCCTGGCCCTATTTGGTATTTTATTTAGAGACAGGGACCCCTGAGTTGCTAAGCACCTCACTTTTGCTGAGGTTGGCTTTGAACTCGTGATCCTCCTGCCTCAGCCTCCCAAGCTGCTGGGATTACAGGAGTACACCACAGTGCCCTGCTTATATCCTGTTTTCAACATAACTAATTGACAGCTCACTATGTCAAAAATGAGGAAAGGATCCCACATGAGTGGTCAGATCTTAGATCATTAATGGCAAAGGTGATATCATGGATGGAATTTGTTACCAGAATCCAGTCACCTGCAGGAGAGGACTCCCCAGCCTGTCATGGCAAATGTCAGCCAAGCAGCACTTACCTCGGCCTGAGGAAGCAGAAAGGCAGCTGAGATACAGAGACTTTGGGAGACGATTCTTCCTAAGACTGCTGGATGCAAAGGTTACTCACTTAGCAGAGGCCACAAGCCACTATCTATCTGGACACTGGGAAATCTCACCAGCCTCGTGCTGTGGCTTGGAGCATTGGCACCAGTCCTGTACCAAGGGCGTCTGCTGCTGCAGGAGATTTAAGGCAGCACATCATTCCTACAAGGTCAGAGCAAAGAAAACCGCAAAGGAAGTAATAATTCAGGTTAAATGTTGTTTAACGTATTTGTTGAAAATCCTTGCCTCAAAAGTAATTTTTATGGCAGGTCTGTCCAATGTATATACTCCCCTAGACAAGCTCATTTTTATCCCAATTATTAATAATTCTCTGCTCGTATTTTACTGAATTTCTCCAAGTGGAAAAGAATGTTCATTTAATTGCTGCTCAATTCCCACCTTGTTGTTGAAGCAAAAAAAAAAAAGTCTTTTTAAAAGTTTGGCTTTAAGTTTGAATGGTTAGGATCAAGGCAAAAAATTTTTTTGAAAAAATGAGTATGAAGAACTTGTTTGATAGAGTAAGTTGTTAAAATTATAATATAGTAATGTTAAAGAAACAGCTTTTATGAATCAAAGAATATGAAATTACCTCTTGGTACTTGATGTCCTACAGTGGCAGATACTTGTCAAGTGACAGAGCGCAGAATCATAGACTCAGTCATATTGATTATCTTGGACTATTGATTGTTGAAGTGGCTGAGACCTATTGTGTTTTCTTATTCATTCATCCATGCAGCAAGTAATTGTCTTATTATGTACAAGACAACTTTGTTAAATGTAGAAGGAGATAGAGGGGAAAAAAGGTCACATTTGCTTTTCATAAGCAAAAGCAAAGGTACAAAGGGCTATAATATGACCCATGCCATGAATACTATTAACCTATAGAATTGAACTTCATTTAAGTGTTCTTTCAGTTAGCCACAGCCATTACTTACAGATAATTCAGTTGGAAAAAAAAAACTTAGTATTTATCTTGAGATCACAAAATCAACCCCAAATAAATTGCTACTTAAATGTAAAAAGAAATTACTTTGTCTTTCTGATAATCCTTAAAGCATTAATATCATGTGTTTAAAAAGTACATTTTTGTGTACTTTTATGTATTAATAAGTATATTTAATACATATTGCTTTAAGGATCATCAGAGAAACAATCATGCTTAGTAATAAGGAATAAATATTAATGTTTCAGATAAAATTAAATATATTTTAAGAGTTCTCCACTATTTCTTATTTTTAATTCCAAAGAAAATGTAAAAATAACAGAATATATTTGATTTAGTTTTCAGTATCAGCATTCCAGAATTTGAGATTGTAGTCCTTTGTTAAGACTACAATTGTAAGTCACCTGATCTTAATATGTTAATTTCACACCAAAGTGGGGCAAACTCATGTGGTTCTCAATGGAAAAGTGAACTCTAATGCAAAACAGAAGAAATGACTATTCTTAAATACAAGGGCCTAGAGAAGGGGGTTCTAAGCATCTGTAAGGAAAGGACACATTGAAGATAAAAACTAGACTAGCTCAACGTTTTTGCTTGGGAGTGGATGTTTTTGTGAGATTGGTTTGCCTAAGTTATTTCTGGTAGCATTTAATCTTGTCAAGTTTCCTTTTGAAAGTTTAACACTTGACATCTACAGCAGTAAGAGTGACAGAAATTCAGTCAGCATTTCTTTTTTACTCCTGATGCTATTGTTTTCTTTTCACTGTATTTCATTAGTTCGCACAAGAGAATTCTATTTTATGTAAAAAGAACCACGCTGAGCCTTTCAGGGAAAGGATGTAAGAATATTGTTTGTTCCCAATCACAATATGCTTTTTATAGGAGGACATAAACTGGTCCGTCTGTCTATGGAGTGGAACAAGAGAAAAGAGCTTTAGTGCATAATTTATTTCTTTGGCACACGTTCGCAACAGTGACTTTATCTCTGCTATCCAGTAGGCACATGATTGGTTTCTTTTGATTTTTGTTATACTTCGCATCATTAAGCAACTTACTCAGCATTTTCCCTGGGCGATAGAATATCATGTGAGCATCTTAGTTCAGTTTACGGGAACATGTGAACATGCCGCTTGGAAAAGGGCAATTCAAGAGCCACCTTTAAACGTTACTGATGTTCTAATATTGCACGGGACAGGCGATTATTTAATTGGAGTCATATGGGTGTGTCTACAGTGGTGCCACATGTCACGGGGTCCCTCATGTCTGCATTAATTGAGAGGTCATTTGAACAACAACATATTTAGTTGTAAGTCACCTGAAACATGGTGGTTTTTAAAATCCATATAGTTTTCCCTTTTCTACTTATTATAAAAATAATTGTTGACAGCCCACTGAATGTTCCTTGCTCTGTTAGATCCTAGGACATGGACAGAGTCTCTGGTGTCATAGGTAAATTATTGAAAAAAAAACCAAACATAAACTTGAATTTGTACCTCTTAAGTTGCATTATAATCATTCACACAACGATAAAATAATTGTAATGATAATATTTTAAAAGAAAAGAAGACTGGCCTAAACAAGAACCAGGTGAATATTTTTCAAACCTTGGGTTGATGGTAGACTTCCTAAATAAGTCCCAAAGTTGAACACTTGAAGGAGAAAGAAAGACTGAGTGCTTTGACTTTGTATAAACTAAAAATATCTTTGTGAGAAGAACCCATAAAATTACATGACATGGGGAAAATATTTATAACTTAAGTTAGACAAAAAAAATTCCCAAATAATAGAGTTCTTAAATTTAATAAAATAATCGCAAATATCAAAATATAAGAAACATTTCAAAAAGTAAATTTAAAATGCCAAGAAATCCTTGCAAATGTATCTTGTTTGAACAGCAAGCCAGGTCATGGGAATGGGTGTCATATGGCTTTATGCTTCTTAGACTGATATGTGTAAGCAGGTAACATTCAGCACTGTTGGGGTTTCATTCATTTCAGACTGGTCCCTCTGCCTTAATCTGGTGTAAAAATTGCTATTTTTTGGATCCACATTGGAGAGACCATCACAATGGCAAACCATTGCTTATAGTCCCTAAAAGTTTTGATTTTATTTTGACCCAGCAGAATTAATTCTCAAAGGAGAAGAAACCCAAGTGTCAGGGTTCATTGTCTGCTTTGCTATTCCTCTCCCAACACTTGACGTCATCTGTCCCTTTCTGGAACCTACAAATTGACAGAGATGTGGGAAAGGGGGATGCAATGATATGCATTCCTTCCTATTTTAATAAGTCAGAGGAATCTTATCCCCTTTCCTCACCCACACCTGAGTTTTCTGGTACATGAGGACTCAATTGCAAACCACATCACCAAAGCAACATTGTTTAAGGTTATCAGTTATGAGCTACCTTGGATGCTGGTTTTTTTTTAAGATATTTCTGTGTGTTTTCTGTGGGACAGAAACCTTGACTGCTCGTTATCTTCGTTGGCATCATGCGACCATGACAATTCCAAACACTGTCAAGGTATTTTGAAGTACTTTTACTTTCTGCTATGAAAAGCACAGTTCTACTTATCACAGTCTGGGGTCATACAGTTTGAAGAACTATTCACTATATTATGATCATTTTAGCCAGAGGGGGCAAAGCCTTCTGTCAATTTATCTGCTACCCGAATGTTCAAAGTTGTAATTAATTAGAAGTAGAGAATGTAGAGAAAATACATTTCAAAGATAAATCTAGTCATTGAGTAGTTCAGCATGCCTTATAATTTTCCCATTTCTATAGCAACTGCCAAATTCATGTCTGCCTACAAATTTGGGAACAGAAGAAATCATAGATGAGGATAAAAAAAAATCTGGCAGTAAGCTAAAAAGAATATCTGACATTTGCAGATTTGTTGTATCAGAAAAACTTCTATAAAGCTCTTGGATTCAGTGTTGAAAGGCACTGGGCTTCTCAACATTTGTTGCATTTCTTCATTTCCTGAGTGACTTGGGGGAGACAGAACATAGACAATCCTGCCCTTATTTGCCTTGGAGCCCTTGCGTTCAAAATCAGTCTTGTATCTGGAAGGACAAACCCCAATGTCCACCCTTCAAATATCGTTACTTACTGTAACCATCACATACTCGGGTGCTCCAGAACAAAAACCCAAAGCCATTTTCCTAAATAAAACATAAATACAAATATTGATCACTACCTGCAGTCCAAATTGGCAATTTCAAGGCACCAACACATCTTACTTCCATTAGTAGCGCAATCTATTAATGGGACTCCCTATTTCCATTCCCTCCCTGAGACAAGCTTTCTCAAGAGATGTTTTAACAGCAGAAATTGGAGCACACCTTCTCCATGTCTAAAGGTGCACCATGAATTCTCTCACTTCACCATGGCATCATTTGCTTCTTTGAATTATTCTGCCCCTCCTCCCCTCTATTCATTATGGTTTGGACTAGGCCTTAAATAAGCCCAGCTTCCTCCCAACTTAGGGCTTTGTTCTTTGCTTCCCCTCTGCCTAGAATAGGTTCTTCCTAGAAATTCATTTGACCAATTTGCTTTTGACCTTGTGGTCTCAGATCTCTGCCCTTTAAAGAGACTTCTCCCAGATAAATGGGTCTCACCACTGGACCCCCTCGCTAGTCCTTTGCTGTCACATGACTGGTTCATTTCCTTCACTGCCCTTGTCACTTCCGAATTGAATTCTTAAGTCTGTTCATTGCTGTTTCCTCTGATATTAGAATAAAATCCTTGAGAGCAGGCGCCCCCCCCTAAGGCTGTATCCATTCTCTATCCCGCGCCTGGGATATCCTACATGCTCAAACAGTAGAGACAGAATCAACTATACCCTTAATTCCTCAAAGGTGAAATCACAGATTCACAGAGTTCATGTGAATTGACCAAAGTTTTGCTCCTGATAAATAGACACAAAAGAGAAATCCAAATTTCCCAAGTTGTATTCCAGTACCCTGTGGCCTACTAGATTGCCTCTTCTTTTTAATTTAAAAGAAATTCTGTTGTTCACAACATGGATGGGATGGAGATGGAGGTCATTATACTAAGTAAAACAAGCCAGGTGCAGACAGACAGCCATTTGTGTGTGTGTGTGTGTGTGTGTGTGTGTGTGTGTGTGTGTGTGTGTGTGTGTGTGGCTGGATTCATGTAAGCATTCATTTGTGAGGGGCATTGGAAAGCTACAGAAGCTGACCAGAAAGACAAGGAGGAAATGGATAAAATGCTACCAATCAACCATTCCTGCACTCTTGATTATCAAGTTTTTATTTTCTTAGCTCTTATGAAGGATGGTTTAAAATCCCAGATGGAAAGTGATGTTGAGTGGAAAAGGTGATCTGTAAATCTATTTCTCACATCCAAGCAGAGTGGAAAAACAGGGAAGAAGTGGAAGGTAGAGATTTTCAGTTGAGTGACACTGCTCTAGAATATAGAGATGTCCT